AGCTGAGATGTGAAGTGCTGCTTTGTTGTCACACCAGAGTGGGATAGGGAAAGGCACATGAATTCCAAACTCCTGTAATATGTAGGATATCCAAAGCAATTCAGAGACTGTGGTGCTCATGGCTCGATATTCGGCTTCAGCAGAGGACCGAGACACAGTTTGCTGCTTCTTTGTCTTCCATGAGATCATAGAGTGGCCAAGGAAGATACAATAACCTGTGACTGATCTTCTTGTATCTTTGCAACAGGCCCAATCTGCATCACTGTAGGAAGAGAGGTGAAAAGAACCTGCTGTGGGGAAAAATAATCCATGAGATGAAGTGCCTTTGAGATATTTGAGAATGTGTAGAGCTGCTGCCCAATGTGTGGTGTAAGGAGCATTCACAAATTGACTGAGCTGTTGAACTCCATAGGTGATGTCCGGTCTAGTGAGATTAAGATAGAGAAGTCTACCAGTAACTCTCCTGTATAATTCTGGTTGTTTCAAGGGTATGCCATCTTCACTCTTTAGTCTGATTCCACAAGGTAAAGGTGTCTTAACTTCAGCACAATCCAGCATGTTCATGTCCCCCAACATATCTAGGATATACTTTCTTTGGCAAAGAGTAGTTCCCTCATTGCTTATGAGTATCTCCACTCCCAGAAAATATTTAGCTGCCCCAAGGTCTTTAATGGTAAACTCTTTGTCAAGAAAGCCCTTTAATTCTGTCACCATTTGTTCATCATTGCTGGTTAATAACACATCATCCACATAAACCAGAATTGCCATGAAACTTGTCCCTCTGCTCAAGGTGAATAAGCAGTGATCATATGGTGACTGAATGAGCCCAAAATTAGAGAGTTTTTGAGTAAGTTCCTTGTTCCATTCCCTAGATGCCTGCTTAAGGCCATAGAGGCTCTTTTTGAGTTTGCAAACTTCACCAGCTTTGGCCCTGAAGTAGCCTTGTGGAGGCACCATATAGACTTCTTCACTGAGGGTCCCATGGAGGAATGCATTATTGACATCCACTTGGTGTAGTGCCCATTGATTCATTGTGGCAATGGCTATAAACAGTCTCACAGTGACCAACTTTGCCACTGGTGAGTAGATGTAAAAAAAATCCACACCTTCTTGTTGGTTATAGCTCTTTGCTACAAACCTTGCTTTGAATCTCTCAACTGAGCCATCACTATTTCTTTTGATTTTATAAACCCACTTGGAACCTATGGCTTTCTTCTCTTTAGGTAAGTGTGTGAGTTCCCAGGTGCCATTAAGTTCCAGTGCCTTGAGCTCCTTTTCCATAGCTTCAACCCATGCTGGATGTGTTTTTGCTTGCCCATAATAGACTGGTTCTTTGTCCAGAGAGACATTGGCCAGAAAATGATGTGTATTATCTAGAGTATACAATGAAGAGGCTGTGTGATTATCACAAATGTAGTCTGACTTCCATGTAGGTGGTTTTCTGGCCCTTATTCCTCTTCTAACATGATCATTTTCAGTGGCTTGAATAGGATCCTCAATCCTTTGTATGGTGTCTTGGATAGAACTCCTACCTTTTTTCAGTAGATCAATTGTATCATCATCATGTGACTCATCATCACTGGATTCTTCTGTGTGGTGTATGGCTGTAGACTGTAAATTTTCAGTTGTGGGCATAGCAGATTGAAAGGGAAATGTGTTTTCCAGGAATATCACATCCCTTGCCACAAATAAGCCATTTGTATCCAAGTTGTATAGCTGAAATCCCTTCTTAACTGCTACATAGCCCAAAAATATGCATTTGTGACTTCTGCTATCAAAGTTGGCTTTACTAGGATGCACATTGGCAGCATAGGCAAGGCAGCCAAAAGGTTTCACTTTCTCATAATCTGGCACAACATGATACATCCTCTCATAAGGAGTTTCCCAGTTCAACAATGAAGATGGCACCCTATTTATTATATAAGCTGCTGTGAGTACTGCAAAAGGCCAGAATTTGAGAGGCAAATTTGCTTGAAATAGTATTGACCTTCCAACATTCAACAGATGCCTGTGTTTCCTCTCAACAACTCCATTTTGTTGTGGGGAATAAACACAGGTTGTCTCATGCAGTATTCCTTTGGTCCTGAAAAACTCATGCAGCTCTTTGTCATAAAACTCCTTTCCATTATCAGATCTAACTCTTTTCACCTTCAAATCAAACTGAGTTTTGGCCATAACAATGAATTCCCTTATTAATTTCCCAGCCTGTGATTTATGTTTCAGCAGAAAGACCCAAGTCCCCCTACTATAATCATCCACCACTGTCAAGAAAAAAGGGGTGTCTGTCATAGATTCTTCTTTACAAGGCCCCCATAAATCTATGTGAATGAGCTCAAAGCAGTTCTTAGTTTGAATTTGACTTCCAGTAAAAGGTTGTCTATGCTGTTTGGCTTTGTAGCAAGTGTCACAGGAGTCCAATAGCCCTTTATTGTCTTCAGTACAATCCTTCTGAAGAAAGCTCAAATGTTTCAAAGTAGAGAAAGAAGCATGCCCCAAACTTCTATGCCAATCAATGAATGACAGGTTGCAATCAACTTTCTGTTTCCTTTTATCATAGATATACAGACTTCCTGTGAGTTTTCCATATCCACAAATTTGATGTGAACTTTGATCCTCCAAATAACATTCTGATCCTGAGAACACCCATCTTAATGCATTTTTTTCACACAATTGCATTACTGACAACAAGTTATATTTGAAGGTTGGCACTAAAAGCACATCATGCAAGGTGATGTTCTCATCCAGTATCACATCTCACTTGTACAACACCTTCTTTGATGTTCCATCTGGGAGACATACCACCACTGGTGTTTGAAGCTTGCTAACATTCTTCATACATTCTTCCCTTTTGCAAATATGCCTGCTTGCACCTGTATCTATGATCCATTCATCTTGGCACCCATTACTCAAAGCTGATAAAGCAAAATGCATGGTGTTTTTATTTTCTTTGCCCTCAAAACTTACAAACTGTGCATAATCCACCTTTCCTTCAGGTTCCTCTCTACTTTTGATATATTTGGTTATCTCCTGGAGCTGCTGAATCACTGAGCTTATATCTTGAGAGCCAACTTGACCACTCATTTCTGCAGTATTTCCTTGACCACTTACAAGAGGAGCTGTCTCAGCTGCATTTACATAACTCTTCCCTTGTTTTCCTTTCATATCTCTGTACCAGTCTGGTATACCATGGATTTTGAAACAGGTGCTTGTGTTATGCCCTCTCATACCACACTTTTCACATATGAGTCTAGCTTTCTCTTCTCTGCTCAGTCTTTGAAATCCTTTACCTCTCCCTGCAGAATCCCATCCTTTTCCTTCAGTTGCTCCTCTGGCTTGCCCAAAGGAGTTTCCCCTACCAAATCCTGTCTTAGCTACCATTGATGCATTGTCTATCTTGCTACCATACTCAGTTTGAATGTTCCTTTGCCTCTCAGCTGTGAGGAGCATAGAATAGGCTTTATTTACTGTTGGTAGAGGATCAATGAGCATGATCTGATTTCTCACATTGTCATAAACATCACTTAGCCCCATCAAGAACTGGATTAACTTTGTTTCTGCATCTTGTTGCACTACACCTTTTCCCTTTTCACAATCACAGACCTGCAAAGGAGCTATACACGCATATTCATCCCAAAGCTTTTTCATTTTATTGAAATACTCCATAATTGTGTTGTTTCCTTGGCTCAGAGTGGATATTTCTCTCTGAACCTTGTATTTCATAGGTCCATTATTCTCTCCAAAGCGCTGACATATATCATCCCACAATTCTTTCACGGTTTCAGCATACAAAAAGGATTCTGAAATTTCTTTCGATAGCGAGTTAATGATCCAGGATAACACCATCCAATCTACCTTTTTCCAATCAGCATAATCATCATCATCAACATCCGGCATTTTTATGTCACCATTTATGAATCCGAGCTTGGTTTTAGCTCCCAAAGCAATCATCATCGATCGTTTCCAAGGCAAAAAGTTGCTACCAGTAAGGAGATTTGTTACGATCAACATACCAAGATTATCGGAACCATGAAGTGAGTAAGGATCCTGCCTTGATTTCGATGTGTTGTCTCGCGGCGCCATTGTTGTGAGCTGAGATCAAAAACTTGCTGAATTTGTTGAGGAATAGATTGAATCTAGATGCAGAAGAAGATAAACAGGCTCGCTTGCTCTGGTACCATGTGAAATTTCATCTTAATCGAAGAAAAACCAGAGAGAAATTTCTGAGGAATCATATTTTCCATTTCAGGGTAATTTTCCGTACATGCAAATAGGATGAAGCTCGTACAGTATTTATTGTGTTCATGCAATACAAAACGTCATCGTTTTGTCTCTTAAAGAGAAAAAACTAAAGCGAAAGAAAAAACACACAAACTTAAAGAGTTGCTACACGATTTTAATAGAATATAACAAAATATCTTCATCACTGCAAAGTGTCTTTATTTTTCACTTGTAGCTCGATCAGGTACTGTACTTCTCATATTCCAACATAATTCTATATGAGTTAGTATTTTTTTTGGAAAATGAGTTTGCATAAACAAATAGTTGAGTGATTTTATAAATACTAATCAATAGATCATATTTCATTATTTATACATGTTGTTTTCATGTTGCTTCATAAATATTGCTAAGTTGTTTTATTGTTGTTTTCATGTTGCTTGATAAATATTATATATGTTGTTGTTTTATTGTTACTTCGGATGTTTTTATAATATATAATATTAATTTTTTAAGTTACAATAACAAATATTTCTATTGCTTTTTTATAGTTAATTTAATTGTATTGATCAATCTTTTTTATTTATTTTTTATTGTTGTTGTTTTTATTCTTAGGTGTTGAAGATTGAAGAAAAAATTGAAAAATAAGTTGAAGAAGAAGAAGAAGAGGAAGAAGAAGAGAGGAATAAGAAACGTGAAAAGAAAAATAGAGAGATGTTGTGTAAAAGTGTATTGAAAGGTGTATTGAAAGGTGTGCCACTCACCTATAAAAAGGGGCCAAATCAATGTAATGTGGGTACTGAGAAAAACGAAGAAGAGAAAGAAAGAAAGACAGTTATAATCTCTATCCGGTTTTTATATTGTGTTCTTTATATTCCTCGATTTTTATAACACGTTATCAGCACGAACGCTCTACCCGGTCAAGAAAGGTAGGATATATATACATATTACTATTATTCTTAACAAGTTAGGCTCTGCCACAGTCAAGGATATATATACATATTGCTATTATTTTTGACAAGTTAGGCTCTGCCACAGTAAAATATATATATATATATATATATATATATATATTACCATTATTCTTGACAAGTTAGGCTCTGCCACAATCAAGATATGTATACTAAATATGATATTATCTATACATTACCATTATTATTGACAAATTAGGCTATGCCATAGTCAATAATATGTGGTGATATGTTATTATTAAATTTGTTTATGAATTATTATTCAAGTTATAATAAATGTTATTACTTATACTTAACACCCACAAAAATGGTTTACCCAGTAATGTGGCGTGAAATTTATAATCGATTATTCTTGTATCCACCGAAAGATTTATTGAGTACTGTGGAGTAACATTTTTATTTGATTTGCTATTTATTAAATTGTTTATGTAATGATTCGGTAAATTTTTAAGGCAAAATACATGATTAATTAAAATTTTATGATCATAAATGATTAATTAGCAAATATTATATCATTAAATTTGGTTCCAACGGCTACTTAACGGCTATATTGCAACGGCTATTTACCAATATCTATATATAACACTACAATTCATTTTCATAATACAAACACTCAAATTATATGTTTTAAGAAAAAAAAAATGTTTGATCCATTACTTATAATTACCATTATCTTGTTTATTATATATGTTTTCCTAATTTTCAAAATGATGTATCGTACTGTTTTAAATTTTATGTATTAGGCCTTTGTATAACGTGTTTAGTATTTACTCTTGTGTACGTCTTGAAGAATTAATGATTGTATATGTAATTTTTTCGAATCTCAGCATTGATGTTTTATTTTATAGTTATCATGGCAAATCTGGTCAAACTCGAATTCGAAGCTCTCGATATCTCTAGGAAAAATTATATCTCATGGACATTGGATGCCGAAATTCATTTGGCGGCAAGGGGATTGGAAAAAACAATAGTATCCCCAAATGATTCATCAATACAGGATAAAGCTAAAGCAATGATATTTCTGAGGCACCATTTGAATGAGGCTTTGAAAAATGAATATTTAACTGTTAAAGATCCTGCGGATCTATGGAAAGCCTTGAAAGAAAGGTATGATCACCAGAAAACGGTGATTCTCCCCCGGGCTCGTTACGAATGGATGCATTTACGCTTCCAAGATTTCAAAACTGTTAACGAGTACAATTCGGCCATGTTCCGCATTTGTTCGGTGTTAAAATTATGTGGAGAAAACATAACTGATTACGATATGCTGGAAAAAAACGTTGTCCATGTTCCACGCTTCAAATGTACTATTGCAGCAACAATACAGAGCAAAAGGCTTTGTAAAATATTCTGAGTTGATTTCTTGTTTGCTGTTGGCTGAACAAAATAACGAGTTGTTGATGAAAAATCATGAATCTAGACCCACGGGGTCTACTGCGGTCCCTGAAATAAATGCTGTAATATCTAAACAGGGAACCGGAACTGAAAACAGCCAGACATATGTGCGTGGAAATACCTCGGGACGTGGTCGGGGTCGTGGACGTGGCCGTGGCCGTGGATATGGTTCAGATTGCCGATTTGACGAAGGCTTCAAATTTCACAGAGGGTACGACTCGGGCCGAGGGAATTATCGTGGACGAGGCCGTGGCTATGTCCAAAATTTTGAAAGGGGGAGAAATTTTCAGCCAAAATTTGAACAAAATAATGTGACGGAAAATAATAATGAAAATGCATGTTATCGATGTGGAAAGACGGGACATTGGGAACGAAACTGTCGTGCTCCAAAACACGTTGTTGATAAATATAATGATTCCCAGAAATCAAAAGATAAAAATGTAGAAACTAATTTTATAGTTGGGGAATCCTCTGAAAATTATACAACACGTGTAGATGATGACTATGGCATCGATGACATGTTGAACCTGGATTTTGCTGATGCGGTATTTGAAGAAAGAGCTGGAAATGACCAAGAGAACAACTGATTATCCTGTTTCTTTTATTGCTTTCTAAGTTTTTTTTTTTGTTGTATTTGCGTATTTGCACTAGTTGTATCTGTATTTCAAATTTGATCAATAATAAATGTTGTTTTCTTTTAGATCATGGATCGATCTCGAATCCAAAATGGAGATATATGTCTTGCAGATTGTGCAACTACTCATACTATACTCAAGGACGGAAAATATTTCGTCGACTTGAAATTAAATAAAGCAAAGGTAAACACAATATCCGGAAATGCAAAGATAATTGGGGGTTCTGGAAAAGCTATATTTTTTATGATGGGAGGTACAAAGTTTACATTGAATGATGCATTATTCTCCCCGAAATCAACAAGAAACTTGTTGAGTTTTAAAGATATCCGAATGAACGGATACCATGTTGAAACAATGCATGAAGGGGGAGTTGAATATCTTTGCATTACCTCAAATGTTGCGGGAAATAAATGTGTTTTGGAGAAATTGCCAGCTTTATCATCGGGCTTATATTACACCCGCATTTATATTATTGAGACTTATGCTGCAACAAAGTCACGGGCGAATGAAATGTTTAAACTTTGGCATGATAGACTTGGTCATCCTGGCTCGATAATGATGCGAAAAATTATTGAAAATTCTAGTGGGCATCCATTAAAAAATCAGAGGATAATGCAAACACATGAATTGACATGTGCCTCATGTTCTCAAGGGAAATTGATAATAAGACCATCACATACTAAAGTCGGGCATGAATCACCATTATTTTTAGAAAGGATTCATGGTGATATATGTGGACCTATTCATCCACCTTGTGGTCCATTCAGATATTTTATGGTGTTAATCGATGCTTCTAGTAGATGGTCTCACGTGAGTTTGTTATCCACTAGAAATGTGGCATTTGCTAAATTGCTTGCCCAACTTATCAAATTAAGGGCTCAATTCCCAGATTATATTATAAAAAGGGTCAGACTGGACAATGCTGGAGAATTTACATCTAAAGCATTTAATGATTATTGTATGGCAGTGGGAATTGATGTTGAACATCCTGTAGCACATGTTCACACTCAAAATGGTCTAGAATCATTGATTAAACGACTGCAACTTATAGCCAGACCATTGATAATGAGGACAAAACTGCCCACTTCAGTATGGGGACATGCTATTCTGCATGCAGATAATCTAATTCGCATAAGACCAAGTGCACACCATACATACTCGCCATTACAGTTGACATCTGGTCGAGAACCAAATATTGCACATATTAGAATTTTTGGTTGTGCAGTGTATGTACCAATTGCTCCGCCCCAACGTACGAAAATGGGGCCTCAAAGAAGGTTGGGAATATATTTGGATATGAATCTCCATCAATAATAAAATACCTTGAACCAAAAATAGGTGATGTTTTTACAGTTCGGTTTGATGATTGTCATTTTAATGAAGAATTATTTCCCCCTTTAGGTGGGAATGAAAAGTCAATTGAGAAAAATATTGAATGGAGAACATCATCACTATCATATCTTGATCCTCCCACCAAACAAAGAGAGTAAGAAGTTCAAAAAATTATACATCTGCAGAATATTGCAAATCAATTGCCAAATGCATTTACTGACACAAAAAGGGTGACAAAATCACATGTTGCATCTACAAATGCCCCTGCTCGAATTGAGATTACAAAAGAAATGGCAAATGACGATGTGCCAAATGAGTTAAAGGCACGCTTGAAACGAGGAAGGCCAGTGGGGTCTAAAGATAAGAATCCTCGAAAGAAAAGAGAAATTCAAGATTCGAGTTTGAAAAAGAATCAAAATGATGAAAAAATTTCGGAACGAAATGAAAATATTGAAATCTCCATCAATTATGTAAATAATGGGAAACTTTGGAAGCGTGATGAGATCATTGATGATGCGTTCGCATATATGAT